ATGGCCTGGCCCCAGGTTAGTAGTCAGGTCGTCATCTGATTCCTCTGAATCTCGGGAGATATAATGTGTCCAGGAGTGAGATACTCAGAAGAAGACCAAATATGCATTAGGCGGCAATTCTTAGAAAACAGGCTGTTGCGTGAGTTACATTTGAGATCTGTTCATTCCTAAAGATCTCAGTTTAAGATCCCTTTAGTCCAAGGTAAGGTTATGCATGCCTCAGACAGCGGCAGGCACAGTATGAGTCTCTTTTTCGTATGCTATGTCTATATTGATATATCACTTCCGTGAGCCCATGGCACATTATGGCGGTGGTTCATATGTGCTTACATGTGCTGAGGGTGTGGTCTGCATCGAATGAAGTCTGTGGGTGTGATCCGCACACCTTTCGTTGAGTCTGTCAGCTTCCAGTACGCTCAGAAAGGGAGCAGTGTAGCCGAGGCCCAGATTCTGGATGGACGAGCTGGGATGTATCCGCATCAATGACTTAGCTGGTGGTAAAATCGCTGAAAATCAGGCCTAGGCCCAGTGTGCCTCGTGGGACACGGGCTAAACAAAGGGTGGATTCGCTTCAGTCTGGGCCTTGGCACTCTTCTTTATGTCCAGGGCTGACCGGGGAGAATGGATCTGGGCCAATGTTCCTAGGACTCTGTTTGGTCAATGCCCAGGATGCTTTTGGGGGCCCAAACCTCTTCAGAGACAAGTGTAGACACAGTCCAACTTTTATTCTTTATTCAGGCCAAGGTCTTCTTAAACTTAGTGAATTTCCCAGTCCAAAAACCCTTTTATGGCTCTGGGTGTCCTCATGTTTTTGAACAGGTTAAGGGTCACAAGTTTATTTCTAAAGGCCAAGCCCTCTTCAGTTTGAAAGTTCAAACCAACATCCGTTTTTCTTATGGGCTCAAGTTTCTTTATGGATAGAGGTGGGTCAGGCCCTCATCTATTCTTCTCAGGGCAAAAGCATCTTCAGTTTTAGGGAATTACACAGACCCACATCTCTCATTCCTAGGACCCAGGGCCTTCATGATAAGGATTAGCCCCAGGCCATTATCTCTTCTTAACTAGGCCCAGTCCTCTTCAGGGTACAGTTTTCGCCCAGGCCCGTATCTCTTCTTCTTTGGGCCTAGACCTCTTCAGGGTAAGCATTAGGCCCAGGCCCACATCACTTCTTCATTGAGCCCAGGCCTCTTTAAGGACAGGTTTTGGCCCAAGCCCATATCCCTTCTTCTTTGGGCCCAGGCCTCTTCAGGGAAAGGGTCTGGCCCAGGTCCCCATCTCTTCTTCATTGGGCCGGGGCCTCTTCTGGGTAAAGATAAGGCCTTGGACCACATCTCTTCTTCATTGGGCCCAGGGCTCTTCAGTGGAGGGATTAGGCCCAGGCCCTCATCTTTCTTCATTGGGCCCAGGCCTCTTCAGAGTAAGGATAAGTTCTAGGCCCACATCTCTTCTTTATTGAGCCCAGGCCTCTACAGGGAAAGGATTAGGCCCAGGCTCCCATTATTTTTTCATTGGGCCCAGGCCTCTTCAAGGAAAGGATTAGGCCCAGGCTTCTTTCAGGACAGTGTTTGGCCCAGGCCCATATCACTTCTTCTTTGGGCCCAGGCTGCATCAGGGAAATGGTTAGGCCCAGGTCCTCATCTCTTTTTCATTGGACCCAGGCCTCTCCAGTGTAGGGATTAGGCCAAGGTACATTTCTCTTTTTTATTGGGCCCAGGCCTGTTCAAGGAAAGGATTAGGCCCAGGCCCATATCATTTCTTCATTGGGCCCAGGCCTCTTTCAGGACAGGGTTTGGCCCTGACCCATATCCCTTCTTTTTTGGGCCCAGGCCTCTTCAGAAAAAGGGTTGAGCCCAGACCCCCATTTCTTCTTTGTGCCCAGGCCTCTTCAGGGTCAGGTTTAGGTCCAGGCCCACATTTCTTCTTCATTGGGCCCAGGCCTCTTCAGGATAAGAATGAAGCCCAGGCCCACATCACTTGTTCATTGGGCCCAGGCCTCTTTCAGGACAGGGTTTGGCCCAGGCCCATAACCTTTCTTCTTTGGGCCGAGGCCTCTTCAGGGTAAGGATTAGTCCCAGGCTCACATTTTTGCTTCTTTGGGCCCAGGCCTCTTCAGGGTAAGTAATTGGCCCAGGCCAACTTCTCTTCTTCATTGGGCCCAGGCCTCTTCAGGGAAAGGGTTAGTCCCAGGCCCACATCTCTTCTTCACTGGGCCCAGGCCTCTTAGGGTAAGGATTAGGCCCAGGCCCACATTTCTTCATCATTGGGCCCAGGCCTCTTCAGGGTAAGGATTAGGCCCAGGCTCCTATCTCTTCTTCATTGGGCCCAAGCCTCTTCAGGATAAATAATAGGTCCAGGCACACATCTTTGCTTCTTTGGGCCCAGGCCTCTTCAGGGTAAGGTTTATGGTCCAGGCCTACATTTCTTCTTCATTGGGCCCAAGCCTCTTCAGGATAAAAATTAGGCCCAGGCCTGCATCTCTTCTTCATTGGGCCCAGATATCTTCAGGGAAAGGGTGAGTCCCAGGCCCACATCTCTTTTCCAGTGGGCCCAGGCCTCTTCAGGGTAAGGATTATGCCCAGGCCCACATCTCTTCTTTATTTCATCCAGGCCTCTTCAGGGAACAGGTTAGGTCTAGGCTCACACCTCTTCTTTGGGCCTAGGCCTTTTCAGGGTTAGGATATGCCCAGGCCCTTATTCCTTCTTTGTTTTGCTCAGACCTCTTTCAGGTAATCATTAGGCCCAGGCCCCTATCCCTTTTTCATTGGACCCAGGCCCCCATCCCTTTTTCATTGGGCTCACGCCTCTTAAGTGTGTGGATTAGGGCAGGCCACATGTCTTTATTGGGCCAAGGCCTCTTCAATATGTTAGGCCCAGGCCCACATCACCTCTTCATTGGGTTAGGCCTTTGAGGGTTATTGTTAGGCCTGGGCCCATATCTCTTCTTCTTTAGGTACAAACCTCTTCATGGTAAGTGTTATTCCTAGGCCCACATCTCTTCTTCATTGGGCCCAGGCCTCTTCAAGGTAAGCGTTAGACCCAGGCCTACATTACCTCTTTTTGGGCCCAGACCTATTTTGGGTAAAGTTTAAGACCAGGCCCACATCTCTCCTTTATTCAGGTCCATGTTTTTCATGGCAAGCAGTAGGTCCAAGCCCTCTCATCTTTTCATTCGCCCAGTGTCTTTAGAGGGTAATTCTTTGGTCCAGCCCCATTTCTCTTCTTCTTTGACAACTTTTTTATTGGCAAGTGAATGTTCTTTGCCTAGATATCTTCTCCATTCTGTCAAGGCCTTTTAAGGGAAAATAATGGGACTAGATCAGCATCTATTTTTAGGGACTGGGGCCATTTATTCTTACCTAATGTCTCAGGCTTACTTTTTTCTTATTTTCCTGTGTGCCCCTGCAGAACATGGATAATCTTAGGGCCACCCCTCTTCTTCCTTGGGTCTGGGATTTTTCAGGTTCAGCAACTGACGTAGGAAAGTGATGTGCTGTAAAAGACGAACACTTTTACAGTAGTGTTCATATCAGCTTAGCTTTTCTGAAAAAAAGGAAGAGAAACATCACAACAATAGACTTGTCGAAAGTGATCAAGATCGGCCATCCAGTGTGTGCTAGCAAAATCAACGTATATCCTGAGAAAATATGGAATGGAATTCTAGAAAAAAATTATAATGGTTAACTCAGCTTTTTGTTGTTTGCTGGTGGCATACCGAAGCTTCTTTTAGAAAGATTTTCCTGACTCAGCAGCAGCAGAAAGAAACCTGTGCCGTTTTAAAATGCCAGCTTTCTGACTCTTTCAGGCAGGAGGTCCGGCTACAGAGCATTGAGTTGGATGTGTAACTAGAGTTTGAGATGACTGAGGAGTTTCCCACGGTGTGGCTGTTCATGTCTTTGCTCTTCCCCAGTGGACAGGCACCTGGTAGTTCCCAGTCCTTGGCTATTGTGAATGGCCCTGCTGAGAGCATTTGAGCAAACCTCTGACACACTGGGTGTGTCCTCTGGATCTGTACCCAACAGTGCTAATGCTGGATCTCATGGTGGCTATATCTTTGTTTCCTCAAGAGCTGCCATGTTGTTTTCCAAAATATCAGTGAATTCATGTGTATACCTTCTGTTACTATTTATCTTCTGTTCCTATTCATCATTGAAAATTATTTCAGATATAAAAATTACTGTAAATCTGTATTACTCTTATGATAAATGGTCAGAGCATTAAATTTCCACCAAATTTAAATTCATTTAAATTCATTAAATTCCCATGAATTACTGCAATCTCCAACCTCATCAGGATTTTGTGCTGTGTAGCTTGGGTAACACAGAAATGTACAATGTTTCACGATGCTGAGAGTAAATGCCAGTGGAGTACTCAGCCACATTTAGGACATCTGCATCACTCCCTTCCCCGTGAGCAGGGGCCACTATGAAAGAAGAGCAGAGAGATTGAAGAGCCAGAGATCAGAGAGGACCAGAGAGGAACAGCATCTCCTGGACAACCCTAGACTGCTGCACCCATGAAATCTCAGTATCTGTGGCGGCCTCTATAAGACCTGTATAAGGTCAAGCCTGTAAACATTCCAGCTCAGGGGGTGGAGCATCTCAAGGGCCATAATCACCATCTGAGGAGCTGTGGATGGCTGGTGGTTTCTGCTGAAGGAGTCAGCTTTCTTTAAGGGTACAGCTCCTGGCAGATCTGCTGTGGGTCAGGGTGTGGCCCCATACCCAGCAGTCCAAGGACAGGTCCATTCAGAGTCAATGGGTTTTTTGCTTTCTTTCTAATGTACAGACAAAGCTGGGAGGTGGAAAGATGATGGTTGATCTGGAAGGAGTTAGGGTGAGGAGTACAGAGTAAATATGATCAGAATGAAATGAAATTCAAAACTAATAAAGTCTGTTTTAAAATTTATTTAATTCAACCAAACGGTGAAAAAGAGACATATTCAGATTTATTACTGCTGATGAGTGTAACGAACTTGTCTGTGTCTGTTTCTGCATCCACAGAATCAGGGATGAACTTCGTCCTAATATTCCAGAACCTGCCAGAAGTCACTAGGACACTAGTGATAAGCAGCAGGTGGACTCCAGCTGGTCCAGCTGAGGTCCCAGTGTCCAGGAACCCTGCCTCCAGAGCTCACTTTTCTCTCCATTCCCAGTCGTTGTTCCTGCTCTCTGCAGGCCAGGATCTAGGACCAGGTCTGACTGTTGCCCAATTTGTGAGCAGATCATTGCTCAGACTCTATTGAGTTCAAATGCTTTTTAACATGGTTTTCAATAGGGACCTCACCCATTTGACTGTAGTTTTTCCTTTACTATACATCCATGTTGTTTTGGGGTCGGGTGGGTCCTGGGTCCATGTTGACCCCCTGAGTGGTACCTGGGACTTCTCTGGCATATGAGCTCTCTGGACATTCATCTGAGCCATGCTCACTTCTCAGGCACAAATCCTTCACAGTTGATTAATATAATCAACTGGCTGTTTATCCCCCAGCCATTGGGTTTGGCCCTTCAGAGTCCTGACCTCTTCCTTGGCTGCTCCATGGCTGGTTGTGATTTGCTCCCACACCTGTCCTCTGAATTAGAAGATTCTGTCTGCAGATCCAGGTGGGGCTCAGTTCATTCACTTAGCTTTTCAACCACTTTCCTTTTTCTCCAGGTAATGTGAAACACTGCCTCGTGATCCTCATTGAGGCTTTGGAGAAATGTTTTCGTCATCTCTGGCAAAAGGTAATCCTAGTTACTGTTTGATTTTCTTCTACTTTGTGGGGTAAATATCCTGACTGTGCGGCACCCAGTGAAAGAAACCTGAAAATCTGGAAGTCATGTGAACGTCCTTCCTTATCTTTAAGAAGATCCATTCTTCCTTCTGTAAGTCCTTAGATCTTATAGGACAGGGCATTACAATTTAGTACTGTGTGGCTATTGACGCCTGTCTTTGTGCAGGTGAGATATCCTTGGCATGGTGATATCGGAGACTCAACTCTGCAGTGTTCTAGTGATCCAAGCAAATGCCATGGCTGATGGGATTTGCAAAACTACAAGTAGAGGTCATCCTTCCTTGTAGGTCAGTACAGTTGCTAAAACTGTGGGGACAAAGACAATTTTATAGAATGCTTTTTTCTCTATAGAACCTGATTTTTTTCCTTCCTTCCTTCCTTCCTTCCTTCCTTCCTTCCTTCCTTCCTTCCTTCCTTCCTTTCTTTATTTGTTGAGACATTTTTTTGTTTATGGCTTTCCTGGAATTAGCTGTGTAACTCAGAAGTCCACCTGTCTCTACCTCTTGATTGCCGGGGTTAAAGGTCATGCCTCCATCACATGCTCCACCAATCCTCCCCTTTTTGAGTCATTGTGTTTGGATTATCATAGGTCTCTGCGTTATCTAGTCTTTCATTGTTGGTCACACATACAATGGTTGGTATGGATTCTATATTGTGTAGTAGGTGTCAATTCAAATCAGATATTGGTTGGATTCTCCCACAAATTCTGTGTCCCAATTGCCTAGCACATCTTGCTGGCAGAACAAATTGTAGGTCAAATGTTTTGTGGCCATGTTGTGTTTGTGCTTTAGTAGCTTATAGAGTACCTTCCTGCACCAAAGACTCTGTAATGTAAGGATAAGGTTCCATGTTGTCAGCAGCTCGAATTCTCCATATCCACTGAATTATGTGGAGTAGACCTCAGCAATGGGACCTAGTTGTCAGTTTGTGGAGAGCGACATATTGTCCTGGATACAACCTGGGTTGCTTGAGGGATTTCCATGGCACCCAGTACTCAACAAGTCAATTGAATGGAACAAGGTCTATTTACTGGAAGTCTTGTTTGGTGACAAGGGATGGCCAGTTTGGATTCTGTCTTCTTTATTAGACTTCATTAGGATCACCTGCATATATTTGAGGAAGTTTCCACTGCACCAGGTTTCCATATCATCCTTTAAATGTCCCTCAAATTCAGCTGCCTCTCCCTGCATTTGGTCTCTCAACCGTATCTACACTCCCTCCCCACTGGATCCTCCTTTTATCATTTGCCCAGCCCCTAGTTAGCCCATAAATTCTATTTCTATTTCCCTTTCCCAGGGAGATCCATGTTTCCCTTCCAATATTTTCATATGTATATAACCTCTGTGTCTCTGTGGATTGTAACTTAGTTTTTGTTTCATTTAACAGCTAATATTCCTACATAAGTAAATATAGACTATACTTATTTTTCTGTTCTGTGTACCTCACTCAGGGTGAGTTTTTCTATTTCCATATTTTGTCTTCAAATTCATGATGCCATTTTCTTTAATGGTTGAATAATACTCCACTGTGTAAATGTACTTCATTTTCTTTATCCATTCTTCTCCTGGGGGACATCTAGGGTGTTTTCCATCTCTGCCTGTTGAAGGGAGCAGCAATGAGCAGCGTTGAGCAATTGTGTCTGCACAAGGATGAGAGTATTTGTCTTGTAAATGTGTGCATGAGTGTTATGGCTGGTTCCTGAGGAAGATCATTGATTGCCATCTTCCTGAGAAGCCCACACTGATTTCCACAGTGGTTGTGTGAGTTCTCAGCCCCAGCAGTAATGCATGAGTGTTCTTATGCCACAGCCTCACCAGCTAAGCTGTCACTTGTTGTTGTTTTTTTTTTTTTTGACCTCAGTCATCTGGTGGATGTACAATGAAATCTCAGCATAGTTGTGATTTAGATTTACACGATAGCTAAGGATGTGGAACATTTCTTGAAGTGTTTCTCAGTCATTTGAGTTCCTTCTTTTGAGTATTCTCTTTTCAGATCTATACAATATTTTACATTGAATTACTTTATTCTTCGTATCTAGTTTCTTGAGTTCTTTATATTCTTTAATTACTAACTCTTTGTTGAATATATGGATGTACGGTCTCTAGCCTGCCATTTTGCACGGATGATGTTTTACTTGGCCATGCAGAAGCTTTTCAGTTACATGCAATCCATTCATTAGTTGTTGATGTTAGTGCCTGTGCTAATCAAGTTCTATTCAGAAAGACTTTTCCTGTGCTAATGAGTTCAAGGCTGTTCCCCCCTTCTCTTCTATCAGGTTTAGCATCTCTGATTTGATAGTGGAGGATTTTGATCTATCTGCAGTTCAATCCTGTGCAGCTGATAAGTGTGCATCTGTTTTCATCCTTCTACATGCAACCATGCAGTCGACCTGCAATGTCTGTTGAAGATCCTGGAGTTTTTCCAGTGTATTTTTCTAATGCACACTTGTGGATCAGATCCCCTGCTGCTCTTCAACAGTGTCAGCTCCTTTATTCTGTCCAGGAGAGGAGTAGGGCTGGTATCCAGAGTGCGGCAGTTCTCGAGGGGCAGGGTCAGCTCTCCTGCTCTCTTTATCTTGGGGCCAGCTCTCCTGACTACAGTAGGTGCTGAGGTACACAGTGGGGCGGGCATCTCTTCTTCACCCACACCACTGGTGACAGACAGATAATGGGGACAGTTCTTCCACTCTCATACTTTCAGGTCCGACTCATCTGCACTCAGACCCCATGTGACTTCATGGCTCTTGGTGACCACATGGTCATGGATATTAACACAGATCCTGACTGTTTATGAACCACATTCTAAGACATATTTCTTGTCAGCAGCCTGGGCCAGGATGTCATCATGGTCTCAGGTGGCAGCCCAGTTCTGGGCATCTGCACTGGCACTGCCCTTGATGGCAACAGGAACTTTAGACATCAGCACAGCTCCTTGCTGCAGCTGGACAAGAAACCCAGACAGGATCCCTGTCACATTTTGGCCACTATGACACCATTGCCCTGGTTGATACTACATGTCACTGAAGTCTGCGTGGCCCCATCGGCTGCATGGTTCTGGGATACCAACCAGGTTCAGATCCTGTGGATCTATGTGACCTTTATTGATGACACAGGAAATGGAAATCAACACAAACCCAAGCTACAGTATCACCACGGACCCAGATATGGTCCCTGGCATCAGCCTGGGCCTGGATGTCATCATGATCCTAGCTGGTATCACAAGTCACCCAGATTGGCATGGCCCCAACAGCAGCATTGCAAAAACACATATATGACCCACAAATACAACATGGCTTCAGACATAGCCCAGACAATGGGCTATGTAAGTCCCTCGTTGGCAGCAGGAGCCCCTGACAGCAACAGAGAACCCTGATGCTCCATAGTTCTTGGTAGCAGTCTGGGCCCAGATGTCACCACAGACTTGGGTAGCATTGCAGGTCTTTTTGAATGTCATGGCCCCTGTGGTGTCCCATCTCACAGGTCCTGATACTGTCATATGAGGTTGCCCGGCCTCCAGATTTCAGCAGGCCATTGGTGGTAAGAGGAGTCATGAATATAACGCAGAGTACCATAGCTATGTCAGAGCCATGGACCCAGATATGGTCCTTGGGAATATCCCAGGCCCAGAGACACCCATGTCAGTGGGTTCCTTACTGCCCTTGACTCTTCACATACACCCAGCACATGAACCTATCTGCCTCTCACTTCCATTTCCGCACCAGGCTTCAGGCAGTTTCAAGGGTGACATATGTCTCTCTGCCGACCAGTGGGGTATTGAAGTGTCCCACAAGTAGTGGCCAGCAAAGGCCGCTGTTTTAGCTGGAGTATTGTTTCTCTCTTTAAGTTTGATGGCCTTGTTTTTGGTACACAGGTGTTAAGAACTGAAATGTCATCTCGGAGGAGTTTCCTTTGGAGAGTGTGCAGTGTCCTTCCCTATCTCTCTGATTCATTTTGGTTTGAAGTCTCCTTAGTCAGTTTCTAGAATGACCAACTTTCTTCTTAGGTCCAATAATTGCTCAGAATTTTACATTCCATCCTTTTACCCTAAGGTGATTCAGTTCTTGAAGTAAGGTGTGATTGTGAAGGACCCCAATCCAAATTGCTCAAATTGCTGCCGCAGCTAAAAATAACGCCATTTTATGCAAGGCTTGTACTTTTGGGGAATTCAGACAGAGGACAGTCATACATTGCAAAACAGGATTACAGACTGTCTGTAGCAGAACAGGATATCTGTGGTCAGCCGTGAAGGCAAGGCAAGAACGGGAAGTGCCAGTTATGAAAGGGCCAACTCAGCCCTAACCGGGGTCCATGTATCAAGGGGGAATTTCTCCCCAATTTAACCTGGCTAAATTAAGCTGTCCAATGAAATCCCTGTATCCAAGGCATCTGCTTCTGTAACCGCGCTTTTTGCTCTCTGCCCTTATAAAAACCCCTTACCACAGCCTGAGGGCGCGCAAGTCTTCCGAGAGACTCTGCCGCCCCAGGCGCCTGTGTATCTGAAAATAAACCTCTTGCTGTTTGCATCCGCAAGGGTGTTCTCGCTGATCCTTGGGAAGGGTCTCTCCAGAAGGAAGACTCTCTTCGGGGGTCTTTCAATTGTAGGATGCAGTAGAAGTAAGGTGTGATTGTAGGATGCAGGAGAAGTAAGGTGTGATTGTAGGATGCAGGAGAAGTAAGGTGTGATTGTAGGATGCAGGAGAAGTAAGGTGTGATTGTAGGATGCAGGAGAAGGATGGGTCCTGTTTTTAAGCAGTTTGTTAGTCTGTGTCTCTTCATTGGGGAATTGAGACCATTGAGGTTGAGAGAAACCAGTGAGTAGTGTTGTTGACTCCTGTTCATTTTTAGTTGTGGAAAGTGTGTGTGTGTGTGTGTGTGTGTGTGTGTGTGTGTGTTCACGACACACATTTCCCTACATGTGATTTAGTGGTATAGGCTTATTCCTTTTGCTTTCTTGGATGTCATTAGCCTCTTCAGGCTAACGGTATCCTATTGGCACTTTGTGTTGGCTGTTTTTAGATACCTACAGCTTCAATTTGGTTTTATGCTGAATTTTTCCATATATTACATTAGAAAAGTTTTCTAGGGATGCTAGTCTGAATTAAATCATGTTCTCCCTAGTTTTTGGAGCATCTGTCCAGGTCCTTCTGGCTTTCAGAGTCTCCACTGCGCTGTCAAGTGTTACCTGACAGGTCTGTCTTCATATTTATCTTGTGTTCTTCTCTCCCAGCTTTCTGTATTCTTTCTTTGTTCTCCACATTTACTGCTTTAATTAATATTTGTCATGGGAA